CCCCAAAACCCCAAAACCCCAAAACCCCAAAACCCCTTTAATTCATGACTTCCTTGAATTAGTAAATTAATAAATAATTTTCTTAGCTTTAGTGCTCATGTTAACCCCTTGTTATTCTCATGGAATTTCTTTAGAATAGAATATAAACAGGCTACTAAGTCAAGCTAGAAGAATATTATCAGGCTAAATTTAACTTCGTTTCGTTTGATAAACCCTATTCTTAAAGAAGCTATAGAGTTAGGAAGGAAAAGATTACCTCATCTTGGGCTTTTTAATGTTTACAGTCATCTCTTTTGACTCTTTCTGCTTTGGAGTTGACAATTTAGGAAGTTTGAGATCATCTTTTCCAGGACTTAAGTACTTAGGCTTCTTTTTGTAAATATTTTTAGGCTGTTTCGGGCTTAAAAGAGATTGGAAAACTTTGTTTTTAAATACCTTCCAACTTTTCTGTTCATAGTACCTATTTACGTAAATTGAAATCATTTGGGAAGGATTTCAAATCAAGAGAAATGTTCTTTGGCAACAATTGGAGTAAGACATCTCTTTCAACAAAGTAAAGTTCTCATGGGATAAATGATACAACTGTGAATGGTTCATATCATTCAGTGTACTTAGGAGGAGGGAAATCTCTATCTCCAAACGAACAGAATCTCCCTAATTTATCAACTTCCAAAAGCCTATTCTTTACATTATGGCAGTTATAATCTTCATAGGTAGGATCCTTATAGAAACTTTCAGCTTCATGTTTACTATATTCATCAACTTCTTTAATAAATGGTACTTCTCTCATCACTTTAGTAATCCCACTTTTAATAAAATAAATATACTTGGCTTTCTCTCCTTGCTTGACCAGGACTACATTAGCCTGTACCTTTCTCATTTGAGTGACTCCAGCTAAGGGAAGGAGATGCTTAAGTTCAATTTTATCTCCAAAGAGAAGATCTCGATAAAACTCTATCATATTTTCCATGCTTTCCAGATAATATTCCTTAATGTACTCTTCGAAGGCCTCTTTAGGGATCTTTATCAGGTTGCTCCTTCCTTCTGTTCTTATGAGGACCTGGCAAGGAATGTCATAGAGAAGATATAGTTCACCGAAAACGTCTTTTGCTATTAAACTATCAATTCTCTGCCATTCAACATTGTCTTCGTCTTTGTAGCTGTTGAAATCGGAAAGTGCTAAAAGAAAGATTATTTATCACAGTTATATAAGGGTGAACTTACGAAGTGAGCTTGGAGATGGCTTTGTGTAAACACTTAGAAATCCATCTATCACAATATATACATACTGTATATTGGTATCGCCTGGCTGTAAGATGCGGGAATTCGAGTCATAACTTTCCATTGACAATGTTTTTACTAGAGATGTAAGATCTTTATCCTTCTCTCTTAGCTTTGCAAAGATTTGATAATCAGCAGCTAATAGGAGGCAAAGTTCTTCTATCTGAGTATCTGATCTTTGAGACATTGGCTCAGGAGACTATTTATGAGATAATAAGTAATACCAATAACATCTTCTTCAGCTTAGAGCTTCTTTGTTGAGCATTATAGCTGAACTCATCCTCTTCATCCTCACTATTTATGTGGTCTGGGACTATCTTTGAGTCTAAACTTTCCATTATTTTATTTTCAATTTTTATAATCAATTTGGGGTTTTGGGGTTTTGGGGTTTTGGGGTTTTGGGGTTTTGGGG